CCAAGCATGCCAATACGATATGCCATGCATGCGTCTGTACCATAGATACCTATAGGTTTGTACATACGTATTACATTTGTTTTTTTATCTACCATTACCCACTATCTAGCAAATGTTACTTATTATGAAACAAAAACCTTATTATTTTATGCATAAATATATCACATATATAATATCAATAGGTACATACTAGGTATTACTTCTACTTAACCGTATTACCTACTTACCTATTTAGATTCTAATAACACGAAAAGACAGTAAGAAAAGCCAGCCTAAATAATGAACATTGACAATAAATGCCATTATTGGTTGATTAGCAACCTTTTGTTAATTATTGAACATTCTGTGACGTACTTATAAAACTTGGACTTGGTTACAATTACAGTTATATTAATAATCATCATTCGCACTATTAAGTCGTGGTCAGATTCACGTAATACTTATGCACAATAAAATTTGTTTTTGTTTTTTTTATAACTTCATTTATTATATTAAATATAGCTGGAAAGAAAAAAAAAAGGAAAGCATGGTTGTTGTTTGTTACGTACAGGTACGTAACAAACAACAACCATGCTTTCCTTTTTCGTATCATCCACAAATTAGTAGGAATGGGCGTTACAAATCGTATAATATAATTATTCAAACTATATATTGTGGCAATATCGAAAATCCGATATCGTATATCTTAGAAACCATGTATCGATATTACTCCGCATCGCGTATTTTATAGCGATGCCGAATCAAGCCGAGCGATTACCGAGTGGATACCAACACGAAATCATATATTTTCTAAACTATATACCGATATTGCTTCCAATTAGATTTTCACTATATTACATACATATTCACTGAGTGGATATCAACGCGAAACTGTCTTTAGTGCGTCTTCGAAACTGTATACTAACATTGGCCCGCATTACTCTTGTAGAACTATATCCAATAATGTATAGTTTCGAAATCTGATTCCGCATATCAGTAACGTGTATCGACGCAGCGCGCACGCGGACTGTATCCATGAATAAATACACACATCAAAAGTGTCTAGGGATCAAGTACGTTTAAGAGTATTGCTGCAATTAGGGTTAATTATATTAACTTTTTTGTATCGCTATTGATACTTTTTAGTGAGTTTTAACATTTAAATAAGGAATATTGTTTAAAATTCGATAATAAGAAGAAAATCGATTGTCAATGTGGTTTTGTATAAAAATGAGTTATAGCGTTTTGACAAAATCATTACAATATCTGCATCGGAACCGAAACAATTTACATTATTATGGAGAGACGACATCATTTAACCCGAGAAGTGATGATGCGAGCCGTCGGAATGTTGGAAGCTGGTTCCAGGCAACGTGCTGTGGCTTTCACTCTTAACACTACACAGAGCGTCATAAGTCGCCTCTGGACGCGCTATCGCATGACGGGCAGTGTGGCCGAGCGACATGGAGGACGATCTCGCATCACGACTCGCAGACAGGACCGGTATATCCAAAACACTGCTCGACGGAATCGTACCATGACCGCCATGATCTTGGTTACGAGGCTCCACAGCTCCTCAGGCTTGCTAATAAGCGATCAAACAATCCGAAATCGTTTACGTGAAGTGGGTCTGCGATCCCGAAGGCCGCTCAGAGTTCCACCTATTGCACCCTGCAATCGCAGGACCCGTTTACGATGGGCTCGCGAACACAGAAACTGGGAGGAAGAAGACTGGCGCTATGTGTGCTTTTCGGATGAATCCCTCTTCGGTATGAGACCGGATACAAGACGTACTCGAGTTTGGAGAACATCTGGACGTCATGAACGTTTGAGATATTGTCAGGAAGTTCATCCATCTGGTGGGGGAACAATAATGATATGGGCCGGTATTTGGATCGGCGGAAGAACCGATCTCATTTGGATCAGGGGTAACCTCAATGCTCAAGTTTACGCAGAGAGGATTGTTTCAGATGTTATCATCCCTTTGCGAGGCCAGTTGGGTGATTCATTTCAACTAATGCATGACAACGCACGTCCACACACGGCTAGAGTCGTAACACGCATTCTTGCCGAAGCTCGTATCAACGTTCTGCCGTGGCCTGCTCAATCGCCAGACCTCAATCCAATTGAGCACGCATGGGATATGCTTCAAAGAAGAGCTGTGCCGAGTATGCATACCGTACATACTCTACAACAATATTTTGACTTGTTACAAAACACATGGGCGGCCATTCCTCAAAGTGATTTTGATGAACTCATCTTAAGCATGCCAAATCGCTGTAATTGTGTGATTCGTGTTAATGGTGGAATACAGATTATTAATTTTCTTATCTTTACAATAAAAATGAGCAAAATCATCATTTTCGCCGTTTTTTTGTCATTTAATTGACGCCGTTAATTTGAGTTTTTTCCCACAATTTGCAAAAACATCAATTTTAGTTTATTTTAATTAAATATAGGGGTAAGCGGTTAAATAAAACATAAGCATTAAAGTAAGAAGTCGTCCTGGAAGACTGGATTTGGTAAATATTGCTTAAATAATTTTTATTTCAAAAATATTCACTTGATCCCTAGACACTTTTGATGTGTGTAGTTTTGAAATCCGATTTCGAATATTGATATTTAGTTTCGATACGTTATTCAGAAAAAGCTATATTACCCATTCCTACAAATTAGAAAAATATATTTTAAATTTTTATTGTATTGATATTCAATTATTTTTTGTGAACTTACTCCACTAGTTTGTTATAATTATCAATACAAAGATCGAACACTCAGAAAAAATTCCTTCGATCCGGCCGGATTCGAACCGAGAGACGTCTTCTAGCTTACCGTGTCAGACGCTATACTACTAACTAACTAACTAAGACACGGAACGAAACGTTCGATCTTTGTATTAATAATTATAACAAACTAGTGAAGTAATTTCACAAAAGAAATTGAATATCAATTCAATAAAAATTTAAAATACAGCGAATAGCGACATCTCTCGCCAGAACTGGTGACTGTAAAGGTATTAATTGGGTGATAAATCTTTCATAGATTTCTCATAGATGGCACTACGACTAAAAAGTCGTTGAAAAAACCAAATACAAAGACACGACGCAAGCACATAGAAAAATTCGTGAGGACCGCTGGTTCGTTCCGTGTCTTAGTTGGTATAGCGTCTGGCACGGTAAGCTAGAAGACGTCGTCGGTTCGAATCCGGCCGGATCGAAGGAATTTTTTCTGAGTGTTCGATCTTTGTATTAATAATTATATAAAAATATAGTTAGGCAAGCTAGGCAAATTTGCGCACTTTTTTTTACCTTCAATTTTGGACTACTAAATAAATATAATAATAATGAATATTTTATCTGCCTAACTGATGGTATAAGTAATAAACATTACTAATTTAATCTTTTTTTTTTCATAAATAACATTGAATAATTGAAAAAAAATTATTTTAACAAAAAATGATAACTGTCTAATTCTGTCCCACCTTTGGGGTACTTTGATTTATCGCTTAGGGCACTTTGATGTGTGAATCAGTGTGCCATTCCTGGTTACCACCACGAGATAACCAACTGTTCATAAAGTATGACGGTAATTATGCTTCAGTACTTGCTAGATCAAAACTTCTTCCTAAGGCATCATTTGAAAAGTGTTCTTGGAAGTAGAAATACAGGAGGAGGAGCCAACTATAGAGCAAAATGTCACTAGTTCACCTCTTTCTACAGATACTATAATGCGATCTGATATGAATTTGTGTTTCGTCAATACCTTTTCATATTGTGAAAGAAGAACTCTGTAACGGCAGTTTTGTTAAACACAAAACTTCTTGCTGCACAAAGGTATTCTGCTGCTCAGCAGTGAATACTTGTACAACTGTGTACTTTGAAGTGTTCAATTATCTTTAATTTATAATTTAAATCTTTCAATGCGTTACTGTGAATTAGATACGGTATATTATGTATGTTTATTTTCATATTTAATTTCTGCTTGTCGTAAAGACAAAGTGTTCACAGCAACTTCAGACATTGCCGTCTTAATTTCAATAATGACTTTTTAATTAATTTGTTTATTGTAAATTTTAGGTTTGCACGTAAATGTAACTTGTTAAAATAGTTTCACATTTTTCATACAAAATAACTAACAGTGACATTTTAATTGACATTTTTTAATTTTAACAGTGACAAAAGTGACATTTTGCTCTAAAGGGGCACTCTGTTACGTACTAAACTGCCCCACTTACTAGTGTATAAAAATACCCCACTGACCAGTTTAAAAAAAAAACATTTTTTTAAAAACAACTCTAGATATCGCCCCAAAGTTACATACAATTCTAGTTATTGGAAATGTTAATTTACCCTGTATTTAAGACAGATCCTGTAAAGTGAACAAAACTGCAGTGGATCTTGTATTAGTGTCTCTTATTTTTTTAGTCAATGGTTGTAAAAATACTTTGTTACCTGTAGACCTACTACGTATATTTATTGTACTCTTCGACGACAACGATTAACTGGTGAGCTGCATCAACGCTTGTCTATTACTCGTACAAAGTAAGCTTCTTGGTACAAAGCCACGTTTCAGTGTTATCACATCACAACTAATATTATGTCTGAAGGTATGCAAATAATACAGGTATGTGAATGTGCCCCTGTGTCAAATTACCCCGCTCGCCCCTAGTATCTATAAATGTCATGTCATATTATTAGGCATTAAAATTATTTTAATAAGGAAAGTATTTTAAGTTTATACATCTTATCACTCATGGAATTTTAGGCAACCTAACACTAAACAATTTCTATGAGTTATTTATTGTTTGCGTATTCTATTACATCTAAATGCATTTTTTAATATATTTTTCTGTCTGGTAACACTAAATAGCTGCGCGTCCATGTCAAGAGGTGTTTCTTCTGTGTAGTGTAATATCGGGATCAATATAAATGAAAATTGTGGAATCCTTTCTTGAAATAGAAAAAAATTGTTTCTAATCATTATTAAAAAGTAAAACTTGGAACATTGAGTTCATTAGGCCTAGTGCGGACGTTAATACAATTATTGCATTCGCGAGCTCTTGAAAATATTGCAGTGGAGAGAAATGACGGGGACGACCTTTATCTCCGACAAAGTGAAGTGCATAGCCGTATAGTGAAGACTGCATCGCTTGCATTATGTAGAAGAGACGAAAGCGTAAAGTGTTTACGGACGCGTTTCGAGTATTTGGAACGTGTGTAAGTATGCGGTTGAGATGATGTGGCTCGCGGCTGTGGCAGCGGCGGTGCTCGCGGCCGTCTACGTGCACGCCGAGCAGGTGCTGCTCCTCGATACCACTACAGAAGCAACACTGGGTTGGACGCGGTTCCCTTACGGCCCGCAAGCCAGCACACCTGGTTGGCTCGAGGAATCCTACACCAACTTCGAGAAGCAAATCAATTGGCGATCGTATGTAGTCTGCGATGTCGCTCATCATAATGTCAATAATTGGTTGTGGACACCCTTCATTGAGAGAAGAAACGCTAATCGCATTTACATAGAGATTAAGTTCACTATTAGAGATTGCTCTCTATTTCCAGGCAATGCACTTAGTTGTAAAGAGACATTTAGCTTGTTGTACTATGAGTTTGATGTGGCAACTCGGGAGCAACCACCTTGGGAGCCAGAGAGCTATAAGCTGGTGGGCCGCATTGCGGCTGGGGAAGGCAGATTCAACACAAACTCTGAAGTTGATATCAATACTGAAGTTAAAAGTATAGCTGTTACTAAAAGGGGTGTCTACTTTGCATTTAGAGATCAAGGTGCATGTATTTCAATATTAGCTGTAAAAGTTTACTACATCACATGCCCGGAAGTAACTATAAACTTTGCACGATTCCCTGCAACTCCAACTGGCCGAGAAGTCACTGTCATAGAGCAGGCAAATGGTACCTGTGTTGAAAATGCTGAAACTGCTCCAGGTGAGGCTCCTCCTATTTACTTGTGTAAGGGTGATGGCAAATGGACACTACCTAGTGGCTCTTGTAAATGCCGACCTGGATTTGAACCAGATCACAACAACCAGATTTGTAATGAGTGCCCTTCTGGGAAATTTAAGTCACACACAGGTGATGACCTCTGCATACCATGTCCTGATTATTCAGAATCAATAGCATATGCTTCTGCTGAATGTAAATGTATCCCTGGCTTCTTCAGAGCCAAAAAGGACCCCAAGAATGTACCATGTACACAACCACCATCTGCACCAGATAATTTAACAGTTACTTTTGCTGACCAATTTTCAATATCACTAGCTTGGCAACCACCACATAAAAATGGTGGCCGCTCTGATGTAACATACAGAGTGTACTGCATTAATTGTGGTCCAAATGTGGAGTATAAACCTGCATCCACCTATCTTAATACTACTAGAGTAACTGTAATTGGATTGGATCCAGTCACAGAATATAAATTTCAAGTGTTTGCAGAAAATGGAGTAACAGAGCTTACAGGTGAACCTCCAAAAAAGGTGGAAATCACAGCTGTAACTGAGGCTTCAGTAGTGAGTGTGGTCTCAAAATTACGAGTAATCAATGCAGAAAGTGACAAGTTGTCTCTGACTTGGAATCCTCCACCAACTGACATGACCGATCCGGATGACACTATAGAAAGCTATGAAGTAAAATGTTTTCCAAAAGATAATATTGAAAAGAGTGCAAATGCAACATTAAAAATAACAAAGGAGTCTCATATAACAATAACTGGTTTGAAAAGAGATACAGAGTATGGTATTAGAGTGAGAGCAAAAATGAAAAGAGGTTGGGGAGAATTCAGTGATATTTTATATGCGCGTACGGCATCCGTGCTTGAGACAACTTTTGTGGGTGAAGAAGAGGGTGCTCAAGTCCGACTCGTAGCTGGGGTTATGGTTGCCTTAGTTGTTCTCTCAGTGGTGGGCATCATTGCAACTGTTCTCTTTTTGCGGTCGCGTGCTGACGATGAGTGTGATAAGAAGCAACCAAATGATTGCAACGCATTGAATTATCGTAATGGGGAAGTGTACACAGGTCCTGAACGTCCAGCTAAGACTAGTAGCAATGCTACCACACCACTTTTTGCAGGAACTGGTTCACGCACTTACATTGATCCTCACACTTATGAAGATCCTAACCAAGCTGTAAGGGAATTTGCTCGTGAAATTGATGCTTCATGTATTACAATAGAGGCGATTATAGGAGGTGGTGAATTCGGCGACGTATGTCGCGGAAAGTTGAAGTTACCAGCTAGTTGTGGTCAAGAAATAGATGTGGCTATAAAAACTCTCAAACCAGGATCGACAGAGCGAGCCAGACGTGATTTCCTTGCTGAAGCTTCTATAATGGGTCAATTTGAACATCCCAATGTGATATTTTTGCAAGGAGTGGTTACAAAATGTAATCCTATTATGATAATAACAGAGTTCATGGAGAATGGATCATTGGACACTTTCTTGCGTGCTAATGATGGTAAGTTCCGAGTTCTGCAGCTGGTGGGAATGCTGCGAGGTATCGCAACTGGAATGCAATATTTGTCAGAGATGAACTACATTCACAGAGATCTTGCTGCTCGAAATGTTCTTGTCAATTCGCAGCTTGTATGTAAAATTGCCGATTTTGGTTTGTCAAGAGAAATCGAGTCGACTGCTGATGGAGCATACACTACTCGAGGTGGTAAAATACCAGTACGATGGACAGCGCCCGAAGCAATTGCTTTTAGAAAATTTACATCGGCCAGTGACGTTTGGTCTATGGGAATCGTTTGTTGGGAGGTGATGAGCTTTGGAGAGCGGCCTTACTGGAATTGGAGCAACCAAGACGTGATTAAGTCAATAGAAAAGGGGTACCGCTTACCTGCACCCATGGACTGTCCTGAAGCAGTCTACCAGCTCATGTTAGATTGTTGGCAGAAAGAGCGTACGCATCGACCAACGTTTTCGAGTATAGTAAAAACCTTAGACAAATTAATACGTTGTCCAGAGACATTGAGAAAGATCGCACAGAACAGGTCCGCAGATCCTCTAGCGGGTGACACCCCCGACATGATTCAATTCAACTCTGTAGAAGAGTGGCTGGAATGCATTAAAATGTCTCGATATATTGAGAAGTTCCGCGCGGCAGGTATAACAGATATGGACGCTGTAGTCGATTTGACAGTGCACCAGTTGGCTTCTTTGGGCGTTACATTAGTTGGACATCAGAAAAAAATAATGAACAGTGTGCAAAGCATGCGCGCCCAAATTCGAGTCAGTGGCCCTTACGGTTTCTTGGTGTAGTGCTTTATAGTGTGGTATGTTGTCTCAGTGATTGTGATTGATAAAGGTGGCTTACTAGCCAATGGACTATTGATCTCGATGTATGTGCCCATGGTGGGATTCGATTACAGTGATATACTAATGAATATGATGCATTTTGTATATTTTTCTAAAATGAAACTGTCTTAGAATAAAAGAAAGCTAAAGTTTAAAAAGAAATCTTTCATAATTAATAATAAGGGATTATCAAATCTTGTATGCTGTTTATATTTCTTTTTTACAATATTGTTGTTTTTGTTTAGAAGGTGTAGAACTTTTAGTATGCAGCTGAAGTGGTCAGCTTTTATATGGCAGTCTAATATTTAAACCGGCCTAATATTTGATAAGTCAAATCCATTGCAACATTATACTAGCTTTATTTTCAACCGTTCCACATATTATGTAGAGATACTGTACAACGAATCACAAAGTCATACATTATTTTAATGCTCAAAAACGACTTTGATTATTCTTATAGAAATTGTAAGAGTTTAGTGCATTATACTTTATAATTGCCATTCTTATATATTTACATAAAACTTTTTGACTTATGTAGGCACACAACTGATATGGTTGTTTAAGTTTTTTGTTTCTTTGTAATGTTTTATATGTACGTATTTACTAGTTCAGTTTTTGAACAAATCTTTACATTGAAGAATGTATCCAGTAAGTGTGAGATGGAATATTAAATTTATTTATGACTAATGTAAGAAATAAACAATAATAAATGAAACAAGAGCAATAGTGGCAGGTAATCGAAAATCCGGGAAACGATTTAAATATAGCAATTTTGTAGAGTTTAATACATAGATAGCAAATTTTCTTATATACTTTTAGTGTCACAGGTAATAGAAGTTTCGTGGTGTTTATGAATATTTTGAATTGGAAGTATTGTAACAAGGTATTAATGTAAGCGTGTAATACTCATTTTACCGATGTTTTAGAGAACTTTTGACGGAACATGTGTTTAATTCGTCACTGCCAATGTGATCATTTCAAGTACTTAATCCTCTAGACTAATGTCTCAACAAAGCCTTTACATATTTTTGTTGTATTTATATTACAATCCTTTTACAAAGGCTGAATGTCTTTACTTTAGTCTAAATTGTAACTTTATCAATTTAAATGTTTATACACAATTTGTATACTTTGTGATACTTAAAAATCCTTATTTGATTTTGAACATAAGCCAAATGGTTTCAGTTTTCATATGTACTATTTTATTATAATATAGAGAGGTTGTGTTAATTTTGCGTAACATTGAGAACAAATCATATTGTGCATAAACATTTAAGCATACTACTAGGGTTACTTTATTTGAATATGATTTTTAATTATGAGCAAGTTAGTGGTAGATGAACAAAATAATGCCAATATAGTTGTAAGGGCTTTGCTTCCCTGCTTGTGATGTTTCTTGAGAGTTATGTGCTGAGCGACTTATATATTTGCTAAGCGACTTAATACTGCTAGCGACTTGAAGAAAGGATGGGCTTTTTAAGAGCTATGCTCTTGTTTGTGAATGGTCCTCCACTTACCCCTTCCGTATCTCTTTTCCTTGAACGCCTCGTACAACCTTCGTATGCATCTGGTTTATTATAGCTAATACTCTAGTCTTCCTCTATCTCACCTTCCTTCCTTCGATATTTCTTCAATGTTGTTTTTGATTAAGATGTCGTCTCGTAGAAGGTGAAGCGCCCAACGAACATTTCTCATCTGTTGTTCTAAGATGCCTCTCGATTGTTGACTACGTGTCTAACAATCATCCTGAATAATGCTGCTTATCATTCGATATTGTAATACTTTCTCTAACCATTATATATTGATTTATTCTACAAATGCTCAATGTAGCCTAGTTTAAATATTAAGTTCGACTTGATCGTTAATATTTCTTTGTATAGAATTAATGGTGCAGGTAAATCATTCGTACGTTGAAGCCAACCACAAAGACTGGGCATCGCTTAGGTGTGCATTTGTAATTGTTTAAAAGCAAAATTTATAGACGTAATCGTCAATGCGTGTGTCGACACATATCTTGCTACTTAGTAATGAATTATATCGGAGTTTCTGTTTTATTTTGGGGTAGTTCCTATCCCATGTACAGGTTTCGTCTTATTTGCACGAAGCAAGTGTCTTGATGACGTGAACATGTTTTGGCTCACCAGAATGCCTTTATCGTTTGTATTCTTCTGGCAATAAAAGTGCCTAAATCTAGCAAAAGTTATGAGTAGGTATATATCTCTCTGAATACATTTTCAAATTTTAGTGAATTACCAATAATACAGCACATTATGTCGTAAATAAATCATCTTTGCGTACATGTGTAGTTTTTCTAGATTCTTGCAGTGATAAGTTGTACAAATAAGCCTTTCTATTGAATTGAATTTTATTGATAATGATTCATAAGCTACATTATATTTTTACTAGCTTTACAATCGGTGTAACATTGTTATGGAGTTTATTTAATAACAATTCTGTTTCAATGTTCGCTCTTCATTTTATTAACTTGATCACATTTTTACCTCTCTAAAGAATAATTACAGTTTATAAATGCTCTACGCATACGTAAGAAGGTATACCTTCTGAAGTAACTAAATCAGGTCCAATGCTCTGCGACTTAAAGGTAAGGAGCAGACATTGACTTACAATTATATGGACGTCGAGTCCGCGCTAAAAAGTGTCCGCACTTGTAAGGCGCTAAAATCGTATACAGAGCGCCAAACTCCGCTTTAGTCTTCATTTGTTCGACTGACAGCGCGATACTGCGATGACATTACTATTTAAATTTCGAATAGGTTGACTTGGGACATTTTTTTAGTGGTTTTTGTATTAGACCCGTCGTCCATTTATTTGTAAGTCAATGAGAACAGAGGACACTTTAGTATGCTATTGGCATTTTATCATAAGCGTCAGAGTTAAAGATGTCATCAATATCACATAATTTTCAATATTCAGAGACCTTGTCGGATCTATATTATATTTTCTATGATCGTCTGCAATTTGCAGGCTTGAGTGCCATTTAATTGACTTACACAAATGAACTTACAATTAAGGTCAAATTTTACGGTAGTGCAAACTTTTGGCGATAGACGCGACGCCAACCGATCGCGGTGTGCCAACAGATTTGCGCCGCAGTGTCCGACATGAAGTCTGTTTGAGTTTTGTGTTAGTGTCCTCAAGTCTTCCCCAAAATAATCTGCACGAAATAATTTATATGTGTCTAGTGCACCCTTTTACATTCGTCGCTTTTACCAAACAGTGTGAGAAATTTCAATAATCAAAACGATAATGAAGCATTTGATGTTAACCTTTTGTTTCTGTAATTTTGTTATTACTTTATGTTAGAGAATTCGTATAACGTTTGGTAACTATTTCTGAATCCTTCCTTGTATTTAATTACCTAGGTGTATGCATATGTCCCTATTAGAAATCCCGGTGTAAAATATACAACCGTAGACGTTAAGCAATATGTAAAGTGTCTTCAAAATAGAAGCAATTAAATTTAAATCCGTGTTCAAAAATCACTCGCATAACACCAATCATATCTGCAATTCGTTAAAGTAGCAAACAATTATTTATACACATGAGGGTCGAAAGTACGTTATTTATATGATCCATTTAACTTAAAAAAGATTAGCTAGAATAATTTAAAATATTTATAAGACTTTTGATACACTGAACACAGAAGTGTGAGGTAGCTATATTTTAAAGTCCATTTGTTAGAGTCGGTTGAAATGTGGTGGAATGTTTTGATTTTTATGAAGAGTACGGAGGAGGCATACGATTAGAATCCCATAGCTGCTATTCAATTACATCGGTGATGTAAACATTTCATGGGAATGCGCTAAGGGAGCAGTTCTAGATATTATGTAACTTGTTTGTCTTTTTCCAGGATGTTATATGATTACGGTGAGAGATGAGTATTGTAAACTCCGATAATAATCAGTATACTTATATCAATAATTGCGCCGTGTTAGATGTAATAAATCGTCGCCTTTGATATTTACCTCGATTACAGTGAAGTTCATTGCACCCGTCACAAAAATGCTATGAGGATCTCATTTTCTGCAACGCACTGTGCGGATCGCAGTTTTGGTAAACCGCAAATATCAATCGAGTAAATTTTGTAGAGAAAAGCCCTTAGCGCTGTAAACAATATGACCTAAGCATACTGATACAACAATGTATTTCTGTACTTGTAACGTATAATACGTTCAAGTACATTGAGTAAATCTTTAGTTTTACCGGGCATGTGGCCTTGTGCAGTGCTTTGTAGAAAATGCTAACATGTGATATACAGTACAGAGATTTAGATCCTTACTTTTTCTTAAGAAAGTTAGATTTAACGATGCTTAAATGCGTTGAAGACGACAAAGTAGCAATATTTTATCTTTTAAACAAATGGAATAGTGAAAATGTAGTAACACCAAGCATAGCCTAACTAAATGTCATATTTACATAGTGATGTTAGATTTATTTATAAGTTCTTTTTTGTATTGAATTAGTGCGTTGGAGCGATTTAATTCTAACCCTTTAAACAGGGCATGTCATAACGATAAATAAAATGTATCGCTCTTGCGCCGTATACAAATGGTTATAATATACTTAGGCAGTTTAAATCTTTAATATGAATCTAATTAGATAAAACGAAAGTGTAAGCTTGGCTATAATTTATGTAATAAACTATTGATACGTACATCCAGCACTCTTATTTCTAATTTTAAGTACGCATGCAAGTTATTCATGTACCAAAAGTATGCAAGTTATTAAATGATACATTTACCGCCTGGTCTTACTTGATAATCACGTCACGATGGGAATGGCACACGGCAGAAAAGTGAAAGTATGAGTACGACACAAGTGACGCCCTCTATGTGAGGCTGTCTGCAAACGTTCGTCAACTACAAAACCAACGCATTTGGCAGTCAGATGAAGTACTACTAGATGCCGTTAGAGGACCGGAAAACAAAAAGTTTGCCTGATCCTTTCATATATTGCACATTGCTTTCGTAGTTGGTCAGTCTTACCGAATAATGCTGCATCAAAAAGATTCCAACGTACACCTTCCGCTAGACAAGTCAAGGCTTGGTGACGTCATGTAAAACTTATCTCACCAATAAAATACAAGGATTTCATCAATTTAACATTACTGACGATTTCCGCTACTGATTAACCCAGC